AAAAAAAAAAAAAAAGCCAGATGGTTAAAATATTAGGCTTTTCAGGCCACACAGTCCCCGTCACAACTACTGTGTTCCGGAAAGCAACCATTGACAGTGCATAAATAAATTAGCTTAGCTGTGTTCCACTAAAACTGTATTGATTAAAAAAGATAAGGGGCTAGGTGTGGACTGGGTGTCATAGTCTTCTGACCTTGGCTTTTGATTTTTTGTGATAGCCTTTTAACATTGATTAAAGAAACTTTCTTCTGCTTCTAGTTTGCTAAAAGGTAGTTTCTTTTCTCCTTTTTCATGATTAAATGATTTTACCAGTGCCTTTTTTTGCATCTCTTAGAATGGAATTATAACTTTTCTCTTTCAGTCTGTTGATGTAATAAATTACAGCACTTCCTAATGTTAAACCTACTCTGCGTTCCTAGTAAACAGAACTTAGTGTGAGGCCTGTAATGAACTCACATGTTTCCATCACCTAGGTCAGCCAGCTCATGACCCGTTTTATTTTGTCTGTATTCTCACTCACTCACTCCTTCTCAGGTAGGCATTGTAGAATTTTACCCAGAAACATTTCAAGGTGTGATCAAAATATACAATGAATGATTAAATCTTTAAAGTCCATTAGAAGACATGTTGCCATTAATCCTGGTCCTCACTTCAAACATTTATCTCCTTGCCACTTTCTGAAGTAGCTCTGGAAGTCCTTTCTGTGAGTGTCTGTAGAGGATGATCAAAAATAATGCTGCTGCCGGACAGCACCCAGTGGAAAGGCAGGCTTGTAAAGACATTCCAGCATATCCTTATCCACCTTATTCAGTGGATCTGGCACAGTGTGACTTCTGGCTCTTCCCCAAAGTCAAAATGTTTTAAACTTGTATTCAGGACATCAAGTCAGCCACTTATAAAAGAGGACTCCAGAACTGCGTCAGAAAGTGGCAAGAATAATGGGATAATTTGTGCTTAAACCAAGTGTGATTGATTTGAAGGGGATTGATGGCAATGTGCCTCTTAATAGATTTTTAAAGTCTAAACATTCACTGTGGTTTTGATCACACCGCATATCTAAAAGGTAAGCTTTGAACTGGGGATTTAGCTCAGTGGTACCATGCCTGCCTTGAAAGCACAAGGTCCTGAGTTGGATCACCAGTACCAAAAAAAATGTTTTTAAGTTAAAAAATAAAAGATAAGCTTTTTTTCAACCACAACCAAAATGCCATTATTACTATGCCTTAAAAATTAATAATAATTCTTTAATATCAAATATCCAAGGTCCAGAGTTCCCCCATTGTCTCATTTTTTGTTTATGAGAATTGGAATCTGATATCAATTAATTGGTAATTTTTTTCAGTCGAGGCGGTATAGTGACACATGCCTGTATGTAATCCCAGCACTCAGGGAGGCTTAGGCAGTAGGATAGCAAATTCAAGCCCAGTCTGAGCAACTTAGCACCTTAGTGTGAGACCTTGTCTCAAAACACAAAGTTTTAAAAGTCAATAAGGGCTGGAGATGTAGCTCAGCTAAAAGGCCTTGTGTTCAATCCCAGTATCACAGTCAGTTAATTGATCTGCAGCTTCCCCTATCCCCCTTGTAATTTATTATAGAGGGGTGGGCTGAGTTATTGTCCTGGCTTAAGATATTTTTGGACCAGTTGGGTAGTGCATATGTGGGCTATGGACTTGTGTGGGGACAGTGTGTGACTTCAGATTCTCAAAGGAGAGTAGTCCTGTTATACTCAGTGCCAGTATTCAAGAGCAGCAAGTTTCCTTGCAAGTCACCTAGATGGGCAATAGCCATTGAGAGTATCCCAGATTCTCCATTATGGGATCTGTCCCTGAGCTTCTTTTTCTGTCCTTAACACCTATGATGTCATAAAAACTATTGCCTGCCTGACAAAAGCCAGTTTCACTGTGCTGCCTATCAAGCCTACCATGTGCTGTAGTTTTACTCCAGCTCTTTCCATTGCAAATGAAAAAGTGATATATTACTAGGCAGAGGGAAGCTAATGAAGGATGAATCCAGATTTTTGCTCTTTGAGAAATGTGGGAAAGCTGTGGACCAGTCTTTAGTTGGTGGTTTATATCGTACCATTTACAGAGACTACACTGGCCATAGCAAAGCACAAACTAATTATGGAAAGATTACAACAATCTGGGAAAGAAAGACTAAGACCTGATCTAAGGTAGTACAAAGGACACAAGGAATAGTTTTTAAAGATATTTATAGAGAAAGTAGGATCCCTGGGACTTGACTGATTTGGTGATGGGAGGGCAAGAAGCAGGAGGCAGAGTCCCATGTTTGTTGTCCTGGGTGTCTGGGAGGATGGCAGTATGTCCTTCATTGAAACAATGCTGACAGGACAGTGCAGGTTTTCTTCTGGGGCAGAGGTAATACGTAAGGTCTGGGATGGGATTATTTGTGTGGACATGCTCGATTCAAGGTACTTTTTGAAACATCTGATATATTCAGAAAGTAGTGGATAGAGGCAGCTGGGTCAGGAAGGAGACCTTGTCTGAAAACGGATTTGGGTGTCTTCAGGGAACGAGGTGAATATGATTAAGAAACCCCTAGGCTGTTAAATAGATAAAAAGGACCAAGAATAGAGCTGCTTCTTTTAGAATAAATCTGTTCTCTGTTCTGTACTATAATTTGCCATCTGGGGATCTGCTTATCAATGTTTGACTCGCAAGTATATTTTCATTTTTAAGGATTTTTTTAAATGAAAGTTTAAAATGCTTCTGTTTTTCCACATTCTTGAGGTGTGAGGTTTGTTGAAATTTTTTAATTGTGTATTTTAGTGTATCTTTATTTTATGTAAATATAATGTAAACATACATATTTTCTATATATGTAAATATAAAGTATTTTCTATTCATTTTTCCTTCAGTGCCTGTCACTTTGTTTGCCTCTGTAAAGTAGTTCCTTTACACTTTTATATACTTCTATTGACTCCATTCAGAATTCAGAATAACTTGCAACTTGTGTACACTTTTGACAGGCCTTGATAAGTGTTTTAGAAACATCCAAACTGTCTTAAAACTACTATTTTGGAAGGATATTTTGATAATTAGATGGACTTTTTGATAACAGACACTGTGCCTATTGTCTATACTCACTGAAAAGGTTTCTACAGTTAAAATGAAAATGCTAGCTTCGGCCTCTGAGCATCCTAGCTGTTTATTTACCTGAGCTCATATACCAAAAGCCCTTCCTATTGCTCACCATGCCCTCGTGTTGAGTTCCTTCCCTTATGCAGACTCACACGCTGTCACCTGCAGGACCCTCCTAGCCCCTCCAGCCATGTCCCACCCCAGGTATTCACCCCGTGGCCAGTGCTCCCATTCTGCTCACACTGGTGTAAACTGTGTGCTACAGGATTATTTGAATATGTAGGCGTGTTTATATTTCTAAATACATGTGACTTTTTTTTTTTTTGTCCTGAGGATTGAATTTGGGATGTTGCACTTGCGAAGCAGGTGGCAGAACCACTGAGCTAAATCCCCGGCCCAGAGAGACATTTTTTTAAAAGTATAAAACAGCCAACATTAAGAGCTGACCATTTCGCCAGGCATGGTGGAGCATGCCTGTAATCCCAGCACTTGGGAGGCTGAGGCAGGAGGATTGTTGTGAGTTTGAGACTGGCCTGGGCTACATAGTGAGTTACAGGTCAGTCTCCACTACATCGTGAGACCCTGTCTCAAAAAAATTAAAAAGAAAAAGAGCTGACCATTTCTTTTATCAAATATAATTTGAAACTCTTTTTGCAAAACAGATTTTCAGATAATCTGTACCTGTCCTATTGAGTTGATTCTTCGACTGTTTTAAACTCTGCCAGTTGGAATATTTTTGTATACCATTTCTTCTGATATTTTTCCTGAAAAAGATTAACTTAGTAGTCAGTTGTTCTGCGGAATTGTAAAACTGAATAGGTGATGATAATTTTTAATAAGTTTTTAAAATATTGTAATGGCAAAGGACATAGGTTTGGCCTTTGTTTAAATCCGTGACACCCTGCAGTTCAGTTTCTTCATCTGTAAAATGAGGGTAGGGGCTGGATGATAGAGTTCAGTGGAACAACATCATTTTCCTCATACATGTAAAGCCCTGGTTCAATCCCCACCACTGCTAAAAAAAAAAAAAAGTAATGACTGGAGGACAACTGAGGGTAGGTATGAAGGTGAAATGAGTTGTACATGAAAATTAACCTGGACACCCCAAAATGTGTGAATTTCTAATGTAGTTGATGACTTGCAAATCACATGTTCTCAGCCTTCAGGGGAACCGCAGAACCAGGACACGCTGATAGAAGAAGTGAATGGATTTCCGTCCTTCACGGGGGCTCTGCTGCCTTCTTCAGAGACACAGCTGAGTCTGCGTAAATCTGAGAAAGTCCTCACAAATGGTACCGCAAAGAACTGCAGTTCCTCTCCTTCCAGCGTGAACTTTGTAACCTCTGATCCCAGAAACCCATATGGCAGGAGGCCCAGGAGCACGTTCCCAAATTCCCACCGGTTTCAGTTAGTCATCTCGAAAGCACCCAGTGGGGACCTTTTGGAAAAACATGCTGACTTCTTTTCTAACAAACAATTGCCATTCACTCCACGCACTTTAAAAACAGAAGCAAAATCTTTCCTGTCACAGTATCGATATTACACACCCGCCAAAAGAAGAAAGGATTTTATAGATCCACAGGTAGAACCTGAAACCCAGACTGAATTAAGCAGGTATGGCCTGTGAACAACCAGTATTAACTCCGGGAAGTTAAATGAAACTTAACTAAGCCATGTTCCTTGCTTTCTGTTGTATATCTCAATGTCCATCTTGAGGTCTGGTAATGCCTTTTGACTGGAGTGAGATTAATATGACTTCTTTTAAATGTATCATCAGAACTATCAGAGAAATTGTTGAAAAAATAAATAACTATTTGTCAAATTTTTTATAAAGATGAATGTTGCATATTTTATCATTTTAAACAGCTCTTGAACTTGTGTATGCCTTCAAATATTATACTTTCATAGACTCCTTAAAATGTCATCAGTTAGCATTTTGTAAATAGGCACATTGATTTGTTTTAAAATTGGAAAAATAATAGAAGGAGAAAACCCAACCTTTTATCACCCTCTCCCTGTGCTCCCTAACCTGCACGTGATAAGTCATGTGACAACAGCTGCCCGGGAATAATTTAAGCAGCAGAGGTAATGTCTGGAAATTAGTACCATGTCCTCAGTAATGTTTCCGCATGTACTCATGCCTGGAACATGATAAATACTCACTAAAAGTTTGCCAGATGAAACAAATCTTATAGTGTTACATAAACAATTTATCTGGTACTAGATTTTAATTATTTTAGAAAGCAAAAAACTATAAGCCTAATATCCTTTTATGTGGGTATAGATAAGAGGTACTGTAATTTCAGGTGAATTTATATATCTAATCAAAAGTTAAGGAATTGAGTCTATGATAGACCTTGTCAAATGGGAGAGAAATAAGGAAAGCAAGTACAGTATACCATGTCCTTCTATGATTACATTCATGAATGTTTAAGTATAATAGTCCCCGTTTCACCTCTCCCAGTATATACATCACTGAAATTAATTGCTGTTTGAAAAATGGAAGAAGCATATGTAATCCAAACTGCTCTTTCCTGATTGTATAAATGATGCATTTTATAAAAATAAATAAGTGGATCTCAGTTTCTTATGTTTGAGGGTTGTTTTTAGACAAGAGGGTTGTGTTGTTTTGTTTCTGAGGGTTTTTAGACAAAGACAGTGTTGATATTTTGAAGGAGTGATAATCATTTCTTTAAATATTACAGTTTTAATTCTGATTTGGGGACACCTGAAATTAAGAAGTTGACAGATTCAGAAGTGAACACAAAGCAGGTAATAAATATGAGATCCTTTTGCGTGGCCCATTTGCATGCCAGATGCTTTGACCCACATGGAACGTGTATGGCTTTGTGGACGGTGGAGAGTAATCCCTTAGTGGCCCTTGCTGTATACAGTGTAACCAGTAAGCAGGTTTGCCTCTTCCAGATGGTTACAGCTCTCTTGGAATGGCTGAATGGATCATACCAAATCTGGAAAAGCATTTGTTAATAGGTGGTTGGCTGGCTGGACAGATAAATGAGTTAATAAAATACATAAAATATTGTTTTCAAAAGTCAGACTTGAGCGAGGTACAGTGGTGTATGCCTTTAGTGCCAGCTATTCTAAAACTGAGGCAGGAAGACTGCTTGAGACCACAAGTTAGAGGCCAGCCTGGGCAGTACAGTGAGACCTCATCTCAGAATATCGTATAAGTAAATAGAGTATGTGTAGGATGTGCATAGGTTCTGTGCAAATACTATAGAAAAGTTTGTTTTGATTTTTTTTTTTTTTTTGGTACCGGGGATTGAACTTGGGACCTTGCACTTGCGAGGCAGGCCACCGAGCCGCTGAGCTAAATCCCTGGCCCTTAGAGAAAAGTTTTATAGAAATCACTTGATTTTTTTTTTTCCAGTACTAGGAATTGAACAAAGGGCCTTCATACTGAGCTACATTACCAGCCCCTTATTTTATATTTTTATTCTGAGACGGTCTGTTAACTCTCCCAGGCTGGCCTCAGAGTCACAGTTCTCATACTTCAGCCTCCCAGAGTGCTGGAATTATAAGCGTGCACCCCTGAACCTGGCTAGTTATTTTTTTATGCCCATATTTTTTACTGAATTATCACTGATTATATAATTAGAAATCATTGCAGTTTGTAAGAATTGATGGATACCATTCGCTCATGTTTGCCATTACATAAGACTATAAAGCTAATTGTTACATAGTTTATACTTTGAATGCTTAGCAGTCAATTCTTTAAAACATTATATTTTTAAGTCTGATATTGATCCAAACTGATTTTTGTGTGTGTGTGTGGTACTGGGAATCAAACTCAGGTACAGCACCACTTAGCTACATCCCAGCCCCAAAATGATTTATTTTTATTGTGAGGGTATTTCGCACTGTGTCATATTTTAAATTTATTGTTTATAAAAATGGTTGTCTATTACAATGTCGAGTACAGATCCAGAGGTACAGCTGGGCAGGATGGTACACACCTGTAATCCCAGGATTTGGGAAGGAGGCTGAGGTGGGAGGATCGCCACAAGTTTGAGGCCAGCCAGAGCTACATAGTGAGTTCAAGCCCAGTCTGAACTACATAGCGATACCTTGTCTAAATAATAACAGATTCAGAGATCCATGAATAAATATAATCACACTCAGGTCCTTTCTTCTTTTCTGAAATGGACAGAAGGTGATAGGTTTCTGTCTCAGCGATTAACAGCTGTTTGACATAGGGCTCTGCCACTTAAGCTCTGGGGCAAAACCCTTATCCTCTGAGAGCTAAGTGGCCTTAACTAGCAGAACTATCATCAACCTGCGGACTCATTGGGAGGAGTAAAAATTGCAGGTAAAGTTCCTAGCCTGGTCAGGACTTAATAAATGGTAGCTGTTACTAACTTGAGTTTGATGAAAAGAGTTAGCTCTGCAGGGAGCTAAATAAATGAAAGCTGGAAAGTCCATCCTTACAACACAGCACTTGAGAAGTTTACACACAGCCTGCAGTGGTGGGGCCACGTGCTCCACAAACAGCGGACCTGAGGGCCCCAGTAGAGTACTGACTGCACTAGGTCTGCATTTTACCCTCACTTCTGAAACTGTGAGGGCCTTTACATAAATCAAGCTTGTAAGATTAAATCTAGTCATGACGCTAAATGCCCATCCCGGTAGGGAGGATTTTGTTTGTTAATATTACTGCTCACTCTGCCAGTGCTACCACTGCTTCTACATAGGTGACACACTGGCATTCGAAACAGATGGAATATTGAATAATGGATTTTTTTTTCTTAGATTTACTTAAAAGTTACAAATTTTCTTCATTTTTTTTCTTAATGTTTGTGATGATTTCCTGATGTCATTTAAAATGTTGCTCATTAAAATGCAAGAAGTTGTTTTATTTTACTTAAATACATTTAAGGAAAAGTGAAAATCAGAAAAATTATTCCACAGCGTTTTTATAATAATATATCAATCACTTTTACCTATTGGATTTCTTTATTCATTTTGCTTGCTATGCTTGTTTTGTTTTCTGTAATGCATTTTTGAAGCAGTAAAGATTTATTGTTTTTGTTACATTCCCAGGCATCTGATTATATGACACATGGGACCAAAGGAAAAATAACCCCTTTGTCTTTACAAAGACCTGGCTTCCCATGGGATGAAATTAGAAATGGCACTCCACAGCATTTCTCACAAAGGTAAGAGTTTACAGGAGAAGTCATTTCTGCTGTCTTTATCTCGCTACTTTCCTGCATAAACAGACATATAGTACTTACAATACAAATATGCTGTATATAATTATATTTTATGTTTATATAATTGTAAATATATATTTTTATATATTATATACTTATATTTTACTCTTATACAATTCTTCAGTGGTGGTGTTAGTTTCACCAAGGAAATTTGACAAAGTTAGGTGTTCAATAAAGGCTTCAGTGAATTACTTGCTCATTAATTAATAACGGAAAAAAGGACACTGACTTGCATTGTTTGTCATTACTTCTCATATAAAGGATTTTCCCCATGACAAGTCCTCTGGCAGTGATGCTAACCAGTTTACGTGGCAACAGTTGGACTAAAATACCTTATTATTTGAGGAGTGATTGTTTGTGATTTTTTCAGTATTTCCCATGTGCTGGTGCTTGATCTGTCCCTGCTATGTGGAGAACTCCTAAAGATCTCACCAGCTATGGTGTCACCACGCTCCTGTCATCCCAGCTACTCAGAGACTAAGGCAGAAGGATTGCAAGTTGGAAACCAGCCTGAGTAACTTAACAAGACCCTGTCTCAAAATAAAAAAAGAAAAAGGGCTAGAGATATAGCTCAGCACACGAACACTTGCCTACCATGTGAGAGGCCCTGGCTCAATCCACACAACAAACAACAACAATAACAAAAACTATTCATCACATTTGGCAATTATAGCATACTACCCCTAAACAAAAATGATTGTTAGCCAGGCATTTAGCTCAGTGGTTCTGCCACCTACCTCGCAAGCACAAGGACCCAAGTTCGATCCCCAGTACCAAAAAAAAAGAAAAAAGAAGAAAATGATTGGTTAGCTGGTGGTGGAGAAGCTAAAAGACATCATTGATAGTTTCGGCTGTCAAATTTTCAGTGTTCAAAGTTAGATATGAGATGAAGGAGACAGAAAAGGAGCAGACATTAAAAAAGGCACAAAGGAAGTGTACATAGTAACTAGAAGCAAAGTATACACAGTTCCCTCAGGGTGCAGCCTCTTCCTCAGCCTCTGCTGGGGAGATACCGTGTGCTAAGGCCACAGAGGAATTGGTCACTTTCATTCATGGGGCTTCAGCTCGGAGTTTAGTATTTCTATGCTGCTGTTAAGCCAGTCTGTATTAATGAATGGCCCAAAGAAAGAAGTATTTATCTTTTCTAGTACTTTCTACCTAAAAGAAATAAACTATTATAATTGAGCATACCTGAATAAAAAACCTTGGAATAAATAATAGTAGCATAACTAACAAAATTTATAATAACAACTAGTTTAACAAAAATTTCCATAGGAAAATATGTACGTAGTGTTATTTATAGGTTAACCTTAGTCAAATTGTCATTGTTTATACTAGGCAAGTGCTATAGTCTCTTTTTTTTTTTTTTTTTTTTTTTTTTTTTCTGGGAAGGTTTGTGTTTCTTTTTTTTTTTTTTTTTTTTTTTTTGGTACTAGGGATCGAACTCAGGACCTTGCACTTGTGAGGCAGGTGGTGACACCACTGAGCTAAATCCCCTGCCCTTATAGTCTTGTTTTTTAACTAGTAAAACAGTTTTAAAACCTGTCATGGCTGCCTACTAACAACCTTGGCAAGTTTCTTGCCCTCTCTGATCTTTGAAGAATTCATTAACAAATGGGAAAAATAATACCTAACCTACATACCAAATTGGATTGTTTAGAAGATTAAATCAGATTATGGAACTGAAAATGCTTTACAAATTCCAAACATATTATTACTTCTATAAAATATTATTGAATACTTATTGTTTTGCTAAAATATTTTAAATTTCTTCTTATAGAACAGTATGTCACTACTCTGTGCCACTTCCTTCAAAGAATAAAATCTACTCCAAGTAAGATCTTTTTGACCTCTTCATTTTGGTTTAGTGGGAATCAAGAGTTAAGAATCACAGAAACCATTATAAAATAAGTCACAATTGGGCTGAGGATTTAGCTCAGTGGCACTGCACCTGCCTTGAAAGCATAAGGTCCTGAGTTCTATCCCTGGCACCAAAAATAATAGTAATGAGTCAGGATTGAACATGGTTCTTTCTTACAACCAGCTTTAGTGTGTTAATGGTATAATACATGCTGCATTGCAGAAAATGACCAGAATTTTCTGGAATAATTGTCAGTCTTGTTTATCTTCAGTAGAAATATGTCTCTAAGTTAATATCTACTATTTTTAATAATTAGTACCTATAATCTTCATTAATTAAAAAAAATTTTTTTAAATAACTTTTTTTTTTGTACTGGGGTTTGAACTCAGTCAGGTCCTTGCTCTTGCAAGGCAGGCAGCAGCACCACTGAGCTAAATCCCTGGCCTAAAATAAGAGTTTCAGAGATGCAGATTTTTAGTAGCTCAAGAGCTCAGGATACTCTTCCTAGAGATTTTTAACCTCCTTACTTCTTTGAAGACATTACAGGGCTGAGGCTTTAGCTCAGTGGTGCCACACCTACCTGGCAAGCACAACATCTTGAGTTGGATTCCCAGTTCCAGGAAAAAAAAAAGAAGTTATTACAATTCTAAGTGTCAGTGTTTTTTTCTTTTTTTCTTTTTTTTTTTTTTTTTTTTTTTTTTTTTTTTTTTTTTTTTTTTTTTTTTGGTTTTGTGTGTGTATGTGTGTGTGTGGTTTTTTTGTTTGTTTGGTTTTTGGTTTTTTGAGACAGGTTTTCACTGTGTAGTTGAGACTGACCTGGAACTCACTATGTAGCCCAGGCTGGTCTCAAACTCACAGCGATCCTCCTGCCTCAGCCTCCCAAGTGCTGGGATTACAGGTGTGTGCCACCATGCCCAGCATGTCAGTGTTGTTTTCATTATTTTTTTCAAGAGTCTTATTTATTCCTAAATTTAACTGTTTTTGTTTGTTTGGTTTGTTTGGTTCGGTACCAGGGATTGAACTTGCCCTTGTGAAGCAGGCGGCAGAGCCACTGAGCTAAATCCCCAACACTTTTGACTGTCTGTAAACAAGGCCCTGTGAATCATTTTTAAATGACTTTTTTATGAAACATTTTAATGAATTATCTTATTTACATTTTTGCTCTTCACCTTCTATTTTCTTATTCAGTAATTGCGTACTTACTTGCTATTTACATTTTCTGTTCACTAATTTCAGGTAAAAATCAAATTTACAACAGTGTCCTACTTTTCTTAAAATGGCTACTCAAATAGCTATCTCATTGGATAGTATAATAAAGAAATGCAGGGCTAGGGGTTTAGCTCAGTGGTGATGTCCCCTGCCTGGCAAGCGCAAGGACCCAAATTCGATCCCCAGTACCAAAAAAAACCATGACATATATACAAGTAATTAAAAATTACCACTATATTTTTGTTCACAATTATCGTATTAGAAGGTCTTTTTCTCTTTTCCAAACATTTTTTGTAGAAGAAATCATTCTGCTCAGTAAATATTCCAACCTTAATGCAAGATGCTGTCCTCTGAGCAGAAGAGGACTACACAATTGTTTTGTTTTGTTTTGTTACTGTTTGGAGACAAGGTCTCACTTTGTAGTTCAAGCTACAAAGTGTACTCAAGCTTGTACTCAATATGTAGCCCAGGCTGGTCTTGTGATCCTCCTACCCCAGCCTCCGGAATGCTGGCTTGCACCTCTGTGCCCCACAGAACTACACAATTAAAGCTCCTGCTTCTCTGAACGGCTTCCCTTCGCATCCTGAAAGCTTTCAAGGGTGGGGAGCAGGGCTGAACAGGTGTGCTCCTGGCCTCTGCTGCTGAGCGTGGTCGCATGTCAGAGGAAATGCAAAATACTGGGGGCACCAGCTGCAGGGATGTTTTCTGGTTGATCTCTTGCCTTTGGTTGCTCTCCTTTGTATTTTAATTATGTTTACATCTTACTGCTATAGATATTGCAGACAGCTATGAAATATTTTCTCCTTTTTAATGTTTAGCCTTGCCTAGTTTGAGAAGGCAGACATGTTTGTTTTATAGTGTTTCCCTTAATAATTAATAGAAGCATGTTTATAATACTAAAAATAGACATCTCTGACTTGTGTTTCCTATATTTTCAGAATAATTAAGCCATAAATTTTTATGCTGTATCACCTTGTCTTTGCAGTGAAGAAGAACTGCTGTATTTGAGCTTCATTGAAGATGTAACAAACGAAATTTTGAAATTTGGTTTATTTTCCAGCAGGTGAGTTTTTAAAAATTCTATTATGGGAGGTGTGTACATTAAGTATTTTTCATATGATGTGAGTATTGGAAAGTTACTTTGATGTATTAGGAAATGAAAGTTAATGTTGCTTTTCTCAAGATCATATTCTTATAATTGACAGCAAATTGTGGTCGCAAATTATGTTTAATTCATACCCTGAGATAAGTTCACAGTTTGGGGGAATTATAGAAAAGAATAGAATTGTGATTCATTTAAATATTATATATCGTGGTAAAATGTTTGCTTCTTATTTGCAAGGCTTCATAATCCCATCTTGCTAGCTAAAACCCCCATGAGAACCAAAGCAAGAATTTTTGTTATAACTGGCCAGGCAGGATAGCACATACCTATAATCCCAGCACTTGGGAGACTGGGGCAGGAGGATCACCCCAAGTTTGGAGCCAGTCTGGGCTACATAGGGATGTTGTGGCCAGCCTAAAGAACATAGTGAGATCTTGTCTCAAAAAAAAAAAAAAAAAAAAAATTGGTGACCAGGGATTTAGCTCAGTGGTTCCACCTCCTGCCTCGCAAGCACAAGGTTCCAAGTTCAAGCCCCGGTACCAAATTTTATTATAACAATTTGGGGAAAGAAATCCATCATAGAAACATGTCTAAAAATGTTAACCAAAAAAATAAAATAAAAATGTTAACCATATCTACAAGTTTTGAGGCTTTTAAAATTTGTTAAATAATTTAAACCTACTATAAGGTTGGCTCATAACTTCACAGATGGTAACAAGGGAAATCAGTTGTCTTCCAAGAAACCTACAGATATCTAACATGATAGACAGGCATGGTGAAGTGGAAAGAACAAATTCTCTGGAACCAGGCACCTCTAAATTAAATTTTCTTAATAGCTTGTGACCTTAGGGGAGATAAAATTATTAGGGTTGTGGTATTCTCATCTTTAAAGTGTTTGTTTTGTTGTTTTGTTTTTGTAGCACCTTTAGGAGTAGAGATAAATTACCATTATGTATCAAGCACTTACTGATGCTTAGTAAGTGCAGCTGTTAGGTTATTATGTAGACTTAACATTAGTGGTATTTTTCCAAGTGTAATTTAGGAAACATTGTAAAATATCTCCACAGGAGATTTTAGGTTTGGTTTTGAGTATGTGTATATGTGAGAAAGTGAAACAGAGGAAGACAGGGAGGGGCTGTGTGGTGTTTGCTTGTAGGTGCGCGTGAGCGTGAGATGGGGGCGAGCTTTGGGAGTCATAGACTTTTTGTACCAAAAGACAGTGTCACAGTGACACTTGCATACCCATGTTTATAGCAGCACGATTCATAGGTAAATCTTGGAAGCAGCTGGAAAATTTATACACGATGCAGTACTGCTCTGCCATAAAGAAAGATAAACGTGAGTCAATGATAGGAAAATGGATGCAACTTGAAACCATAGAGTTAAGTGAAAAAAATCCAACACAGATATAAGCTTAAATATGAAGCAAAGACAGAGATAATAGAGAGTAGGGAGATAGATCTTTCTCAGAAAAATGGAAAGAGGATCAAGAGATGGAGGGAAAGGAGAGAGGGAAGGGAAAGGGGATGAAAAAAGTTGAGATGTGTTACATACACACACCAACTCCACACAAGGAATGCAAACATTACATATGGCAGACAGATACTAATGAGAACTGTTTTATTCACAGGAGTAGCATATAATCTTTCAGAAACAACAGCCTCCATACTGCAAGTGAAAGTAAACTCCGAGTGGAAGCCCAACTAGTTTATATGAAGAGTTTAAAAGAACAGGGAAGGATTATTCTTCAGCTTTAGAAAGAAAAAACACTAATCTAAAAAATATTTCCCAGTCTTTAATACTTTGAGCATTACATAACTACTTTTATATTTAGTTGATTTCCTGGTTTTAAGACACTAACCATTTTATTTATCATTTGTAGGTTTTTAGAACGACTGTTCGAGCAACATATAAAACAAAATACACATCGTTTGAAAGAGGTTTGTCTTAGAACTTTATTAGAAAAATTCGAATACAAAAATTGTAAAGCTTTTCCATGGCCTCAAAGAATGAATTAAAAGCAAGCACTTTTTCCCCTTGCACTTTTTTTTTTTTTCTTTTTCTCATACCGGGGATCGAACTCGGGCCCTTGCACTTTCGAGGCAAGCTGCAGACCCACTGAGCTAAATCCCTGGCCCTTCCCTTGCGCTTTTCATGGGGCTAGGGAACAGGGGAAATGGAGAGGAAAGTATTCGTCCTGCTGAGATCAGCAGCACTGCAGACAACATTAACTCAGTTGGATTAGTTTTACTATTATTCTCACAATTATATAAGTATTTTCTTAATCCTAGGAAAAAATGCGCCACCTGCTGCATGGTTTGAAAATAGACTTAGGCTGCACATCGGACGAAAACGCAGTAAAGCCACAGGATGTCAAGATGTTGGATTCATTTGAATTTGAAAAGGCCATGAATTCAGAACAAAATGGACTTAGAAATGCACAGGACCTGACAATTCAACAGGAACGTCAGCAATACCAAAATGCTTTGGATATGTTACTGTCTGCACCAAAGCATGAAAGTGAGATGGCTTCACAGGGTGAATTTTTCATGCCCATCTATAAATCCAAGTATTCGGCAGGGGTTATAGTTCAACAGGTGAATGATGAAACAAATCTTCAACCTTCAACTTGGGATGAAAACAATCCAGGTCTTCCAGACAGCTTAAGAGACCGTGAGACCTCTGTGAACGCCATTGAAGGTGACAGTGACACTGAAAAGGCTGAGGTGTCCAGTGAGTTCAGCTGTTGTAGCATCTCACCGTCCCAGTCTGCTCAGCTGTGTGGTGGTAATAATCATGACAAGGAATTACCAAGTCTTAGAATCATGGAAATGAGCATTGAAGACAACTGCCCTTTGGATATTTGATCGTCACTAATAAATACCCGACCTAGCCGAGTAACTCGATACTACTTCTCTTCATTTTTTTTCTTTTACATAATAAGATTTCTGTACTAACTTTCTATGCTGCATAATAAATTCCTGTAAGTGTAGCAGTTTAAAGTGTCACCCATTTATTATTTACCCCAGTCTTTGAGGACCAGCAGTGTAAGTACCATACTTGGGTCCCCTACTGTGGGTCTCAAAGGGTGACGGTCAAGGCAGCAGGTGGGACTGTGGTCTCAGCTGGAGGCTTCACTCAGGAGAAGCCGCTTCCAGACTCTGCAGTTCTTGGCAGAATTCTTTCTCTGGCAGGTATATTTCTAAGGGCTTCATTTTCTTGCCAGCCAATGGCCCAAGGCTGTGCAGCTTCCTGCCACTTGGCTCTTCCTCGAGCAGGTTACGTGTCTGCTTGCTTTTTCAAGGCTAACAGGAGACCCAGAGATTCCGCTAACAAGATGGAGTCTTAGATAACTGGATGTGTCATAGGATTGACTTTCCATCACTTTTGCCATATTCTGATTAGAAGCAAGTCACAGGTCTCCCCCAGGTAGGGAAAGTAGGCTGTGAATGCCTTGTATAATATATGGGGTCACTGGGGTCACCTACGGATCTGTTGGCCATGATTGTTTTTTTATTGTTTGTTGTTTGCTTTTTGAGGCAGGGTCTCACTATGTAGTTCAGACTGCTCTGGAACTCACTGTGTAGCCCAGGCTGCTCTCGAACTCACAGTGATCCTCCTGCCTCAGCTTCCCGAGTGCTGGGATGACAGGCATGCGCCACCACACCCAGCCTGTTGGCCACAATTTTAAAGTTGCATCTCAGAATAACATATTTTATCCAGTCATGAGTGGTTCTATAGGCAAAGAGAAATGATGGCTAGTGCACTCATGAAATCCCAGCAACTGGGGAGGCTGAGGAAGGAGGAAAGCCATGAGTTCAAGGCCATCCTGGGCTATATAGTGTGTCCACAGCCAGCCCAGAGAAAAAGAGAAATGGTGTATGATCTGGTGTGCATCTTGAAACATTACACCTTGTCTTCAGTATCTCTAATTTTGTTTTTCTCACTTTCCGATAGTATCATAAGCCTCTAGGACCAGGGATTTAGCTCAGTGGTGCCTCGTCACACCTGCCTCACAAACACAAGGTCCTAAGTTTGATCCCTGGTACTGCAAAGAATAAAAAGCATCATAACCCTCAAAGATATTTGTAATAATCAGTGATCTTTGTAATAAGCAACCTGTTACCTCCAAAACTGGCTGTCTCTTCTGTCAGTGCGAATGTTCTATCACACCTGTCAGACACGGCATACTTTTCCTACTTTTAATTGGCCAATACTCACTCTGCAGAGCATGTTTCTTTTCTCACCTTTAATAAACATAAAAACTCACTACCTTTTGCACTTATTTTGTCTAATTCTTTATTCAAGACAAGTAAGAGCTAGAAAGGCCAGGGATTTAGCTCAATGGTACTGTGCCTGCCTTACAAACACAAGGTCCTGAGTTTAATCCCCGGTACAAAAAAAAGACTAGAAAGAATCCCTAAAAAGAGTTCCCAGCACTCCAGAATCTGCTGACATATTTCAGCAAAGCCAGGCAGGAGCAGTTAAGACCCTTTGGGCAGTTTTCTCTGTCTAAAATCTACAGCCTCATGTAGAGGTACAAGATCCCAACAATGAATGTAACTGTGCTGTATCCCTAAAATGTACCAATAAACTCAATTAAAGCTGGAAAAAAAATAAATAAAATCTACAGCCAAGAAGAACTAGTTTAACTTTTTTTTTTTTCTTTCTGTCCCCTAAGAAAGCTCCAATCTTGTCCTTTCTTTCGCACAGTGGGCTTTCATTCACAGGACAGCTCACATCCTTTTTGATTATGGGAAGAGAGAAGGAGCTAGAGGGTGGTAAAAATTAATGGAAGCTGGGGAACTCAGGAAGTTTGGGTCCCACCATGTAGGACAGGATAGGGGAAACTCATGGGCTGTTTTTCCCACCTGGTAAGAGGCCCATAGGTCTGCTTCATGTTTATCTCCCCTTTTCTTTCTCTCTCTCACATTTTCAGTCACTCATTGCAGATATAAGTCAGTTAAGAGCTGCCAGACAACCTGTTACTAACCCAGTCACAGAACAGATTGTTCAGATTCCACGTGTAGGACCTAGAGCAGTGACTGAGTGCCAGCACTGAAATTAAACCTGAATACTGAGGTTTTAGGTGGCGGGGGGGCCCTCTACATTATCATCTTTTGTCTTAAAAGAAAAACATAGTAACATGCACACCATAGGTTTATCACCACTGACCTAGAGTTTAGTATGTGTTATGACTTGTATCTAGATGTCCACCCAAAGCCTCATGTGCTCATAGGTGCAGCTTTTTGGAGCTGGCTGGATCTAGGGTTTGTGATACTGGGACTAAGGGTGTGTGGAACTAAATTAGTCCACTGATTAGAACTAGTTTAGTTCTGGGTGTGGATAATACAAATGATATAGGAGGTAGGGCATGGCAAAGAAGAAGTGAACAGGACTTGTCAATTTCAAAATTCCAGGATGTTGCCAGGTGATTCTCAGGGCCTTATACATTGAACTTCTCAAAAGCTCGCATGAGCAGGGGATGTAGCTCAGCTGTGCAGTGTCTGCCTGGCAAGTGTGAGGCCCTCAGTTCGATTCCCACTACCAAAAAAAAAAGGTCCCATGAGACCTCAAGATGTAGATGGCATAAAGGACACCAGACACCACAAGGAGCTTACTATCATGACTACTCATGGTACCAGACTCTGCATCTCCTAGATACAGGGTGCACTTAATTTTTTTAGTAGTGGCAATCAAGTGCAAGGCTTTGCATTTGCCAGGCAGGCACTGTGACGCTGAGGTACAGCTCCAGCCCAAGTGTACTTTTTTTTTCTTTTATCCTTTTGTCTTTCCCTTAGCCCTTCATCTCTCATTTTTCAAATAAACTTTTGGCACCATTTTGGCTTGTCTCATCCAATTCTTTACTTGAGGCAAGAAGGACCTGGAATACTTTTGTTCAGTGAGCCATTTTAAAAGGGGCTACCCAGGCCAGGGATTTAGCTCAGTGATTCCACCACCTACCTTGCAAGCACAAGGTCCCAAGTTTGATCCCTGGTACCAAAAAGCGGTGGTGGTGGGGCTACTCAACAACAAGAAGGCCCACCTTGAGTGCAGGTGGCAGCACCCAAAAGGCATATAGCCTGGATGAAATAAAAAAGAGGCAGGGTCACTGCTGGCTATGTCATGGACTATTTCTCCTCTGCCCCTCTGCTGTGCCACCTGCCTTGGAGCCAGATAATTATGGACTAAAACCTCTACAAGCTGAGTTGAAATAAACCTTCCCTCCTTTAAGTTGGGGTATTGGGTATTTTGTCTCAGCAACAAGTAAGTATGATTTTTTTGCCCTCACATTTTTGTTTTCCCTGGTACTTTCTTCAGGTACTTTATTCTCATCTGTGCTTGCCCCCCTAGGTGGCCTTTTATCTTTGGGTGTCCTTAGTGAGTCACTTTCTCAAGGCCTTCTTTCATCCCAGTCCTCCTTTCAGCTATGTTTGGAAGCCATTTTGGGTTCAGTCATACGGTTCTGCCATGTTCATCAGGCATTTTGATTAGTCACATGGGTGATCACAAGGTGTTATGTTTATTGTTCATTGTCCATTCTCTTCTTTTTTTGGTGGGAGGGGGGTGCTGTGGATCAAACTCGGGACCTTGTGCTTCTGAGGCAAGCAGCAGAATCCATTGTCTTTCTTTAACCTCATGACCCTTATTGATGAGAGCTAAAGCTCTAGTTTTAGGAAACTTGTGAACCTTTTCCAAGATTCTCTTCAGAATCAGATTAGATCCCCTCATTTCTTCTAACAGAAATTCAGGTAATTTAGAAATGTGCTTAAAGGCCTGATCAGATCAAACAATCACCAGTAAAGATCAAGTGGCTGTAAGTATGCAAAATAGAACTATCTTTGTAATTAGAACTTTTTACAGGGTTTTTTGTCTTTTAAATTTTTTTGTTTTTGGTACTGGGGATCGAACTCGGGTCCTTGGGCTAGCAAGGCAGGAGGTGGAACCACTGAGCTAAATCCCTGGCCCTGTCTTTTAAATTCTGAAAAGTTTTACCCCCTGCTCAGGTAGCCAGGCAGTCAGTGGGCCATGGTCTCAACTAAAGGAGCCCCTGTGGCTGAGGTTCCACTATAATCTCTTAAAAGTTAACTCTCTAGGCCTGGTGATTTAGCTTAGTGGTTCTGCTGCCTGCCTCTGAAGTGCAAGATCCCAAGTTTGATCCCTGGTACCAAAAAAAAAAAAAAAAGTTAACTGTCAAAGGATGCCCCCAGGGTTTCCGATCCTGATCTCTTAGAGAAGTGTACTGTTGCTCCTGTAGCTAGTTGGAGCCTCTGGGGGCACCACCCTACTTTGGTAGTTGGTTGGAGCCCCCAGGCAGGGCTGCACCCTTCTCTGAACCATCAGTGAGCCAGTGTATGGAGAATTCTAAGGAAAAAAATATAAAAGGCACTAGAGACATCTTGTTGAATCTCACAAGAGATAACTTGGCTTTGCATTCTTTTGCATGGGACACCATCTGAAGGACCCCAGACATATTTTTTTTTTCATAGGCTGCATGCCATGCCATGGGGAACACCATGGAGATCCTAGTTACCTTACTATTAGTTATAGCTATCATTAGGGTCAAAGAGAGCCCTAGCCAGAGCTTCTTTATCATGTCAATTCAAAAGTCAAATGTTCAACCATGAGTTTTTAATTGTTCCACAGTGTCTAACTCCCTTAATTAGATATTTACTAGCAAACTGGGGACAAGTCTCCAATTCTGGCAAATGCCAAAGCAGCAGACTACCTGTTGCAACAATGCCAGGCCATGCTTCTAAATATCCTTGAGCTTACCATAAAGACTGTACTAGTCTTAATCCTGACTCACTGACTTCTAATAGGTGATTTCTTAGACCTATGCAAGCAGGCTGGACATCAGTAACCTGCCCCCTCTGAGACCCTGAGAGGGTGTGGTTCACTGATAAAAGTAGCTTTGTCCAAGAAAGATGTTGAAAGGTAAGTCATGCACTTTTCAGTTCACAACAGATCGTTAGGACCAAACCCCTTTCTCCAGG